ATAGCACTATATATCGCATTAATCCAAACAACCATGTGTTCCATCGTATACAACGTGCATAGTACCAGCAATAGGTGAGCTGGCACCCCCATCCCCGTCCGAGGTAGCAGGGGTTGTCTTTGAAATCAACCATTTCTTGGCGTGCTTGCCCACCAATTGGCTGGGTCCTTGTTGGGTCGGCTGCATTGAAAGGGGCATGTGGCTATGCATGAGACACACACCCAACCCCTATAACTTGTGTGGACATATATGCCCTAAAACCCTAAACCTAAGTCTGTTCGACTCCTGAACGTCACCCGGCATGACAACGCATAGCACTTGTGTGCAGGTGGGCGTATACATATACACATGCATCTACGGGTGTACCTCTGAGCTTCACACACACACTGATACTTTATACGTTTACTTGACAATCAGTGCCTTCTCATCCATCAGTTTGTGTGTGTGATTGGATTGTGTCATATGCTGTGCCAAATTATATGGGAAACCCTAACGCCAGTGCACCCTACGCAACCACTCCACACATTCACTCAGAATCCACAACAGCAAAGTACATGTACAAAGTATGTTACCTATAGCAACACGAAGAAAGTACATACATATACACACATCACACCCATCACATCCATGCACACTTACAGACTATAACAACACGAAGAAAGTACATACATACACACCCACAACACCCACAACACTTACAGACTATAACAACACGAAGAAAGTACATACATACACACCCACAACACCCACAACACTTACAGACTATAACAACACGAAGAAAGTACATACATACACACCCACAACACCCATGCACACTTACAGACTATAACAACACGAAGAAAGTACATACATACAGACCCACAACACCCATACATACTTACAGATTATAACAACACGAAGAAAGTACATACATACACACCCACAACACCCGTGCACACTTACAGATGGGGAGGTAAGGAATGTTGGCGGCATATCGCAATCGATCACTACAGCCTCCGTGCCCTTCCCCGTGAAGCGATTGCCCTGTCTACTCTGCGCTGTGGCACCTGCGTGGAGTACAAGAGCGCTCAACCCATCAGCCCCAACTATCACGATATGCATCATATGCATGTATTTATAAGTCTATATATATGTGTGTGTGTGTGTGTGTGTGTGTGTGTGTGTGTGTGTGTGTGTGAGTGTGTGTGTGTGTGTATGTGTACCGTTTATAGAGCGCAAGCACCTGCCGTGCTCTACTAATGCCGTTCGCATGAGCATAGTCATACGCTCACGAGCAGTGTAGAGCCATAGCCTCGGCAGTGCCACTCTCATCCACTCGCGTGCTGCACTGGCAAACTCGTGCAAAAACAAACATGGAAAACCGATATGCACACTCCCACGCGTACACACAGGTGTCTACTATAGCATGTATAAATGTATATGTATAAGTGTATGTGTATGTATATGTAAATGTGTATGCATATGTGTATGTGTATGTATATGTGTATATATGTGCATATGTGTATGTGTATGTATATGTATATGTGTATATATATGTGTATGTGTATGTCTATATCTATGTGTATATATGTGCATATGTGTATGTATATGCATGTGTATATATATGTGTATGTCTATGTCTATGTCTATGTGTATATATGTGCATGTGTGTATGTATATGTATATGTATAGATGTATATGTATATGTATAGATATATATGTATGTGTATGTGTATGTATATCTATATGTGATCCTATGCCATGTACCTACCATTGCTGTTCGTAGCTGTGGTATGCTCGTCCGAATCAGATATCACGATTGCGTTCGCGAGGGCTTTGGCAAGCGCTAGCTTTTTCTGGTTTTTGGACAGTCCTTTTTTCTTCCGCTGAGGTGCAGCTGTTGTGTGGTATGCAATACACGCATACAAATCAATACAATTCTTCTAGGGCCTATCCCTTTACAGCGGATTGCCCCCCCCCACCTTAAGGAGAATATGTACTTAGAAGTACTAGTTGTGGTGGCGGGAAGGTCTCCCACCGCTTGCGATGCGTGAAGAAAAGCGTGTGTTGGAGCTTAACAAGTGAATGTAGATATATATAAAAAGCCCCAGAAAAGGCCCCCGAGGCCGTGTGTTTGCTATGGCCCCAATAGTATCAGCAACTATTCCAGTAGGTATTGCATGTCTCGTCACAGGTGTCCGTGTGAGTACCGTATCTATCACGCGAGTATCCGATTGCCGCAAGTATATAAACAGTGCGTCTGTATTGAAACTGTGTGCTGTTGTGGGACTGATTTATGTAGAACCTGTACGGGTGATATGTCGTACTATCCTTGTACATAGTGCGAGGCGATGGCGATACAGATGTGGTGCGTTAAAAGTTTGCAAACGGTCCAAGGCGCGTACCCCGTTTCTGCCAAGTCGCATCTCGGACAACCAACTCGTTGAACGGCCAACAACCCACTCGCTAAACAGCCAACAACCAACTCGCTAAACGGCCAACAACCAACTCGTTAAACGGTCAACGACCCACTCGTTAAACGGTCAACGACC